TTTTATGGCTGAGTAGTATTCCATTGTATAAATATACCACAAAACTTCTTTATCCAGTCACCTGTTGATGGACATTTAGGCTGTTTCCATGTCTTGGCTATTGTAAATAGTGCTGCTATGAACATTGGGGTGCAGGTGTCATTTTGAAGCAGGGTTCCTTCTGGATATATGCCCAGGAGTGGGATTCCTGGGTCATATGGTAAGTCTATTCCTAGTCTTTTGAGGAATCTCCATACTGTTTTCCACAGTGGCTGCACCAAACCACATTCCCACCAGCAGTGTAGGAGGGTTCCCCTTTCTCCACAGCCTCTCCAGCATTTGTCATTTGTGGACTTTTGAATGATGGCCATTCTGACTGGTGTGAGGTGATACCTCATCATCGTTTTGATTTGCATTTCTCTGATAATTAGTGATATTGAGCATTTTTTCATGTGCCTATTGATCATTTGTATTTCTTGGAGAATTGCTTGTTTAGGTTTTTTTGCCCATTTTTAGATTGGGTTGGTTTATTTTTTCTTATTAAGTTGTATGAGCTGCTTATATATTTTGGAGATCAAGCCTTTGTTGGTTTCATTTGTAAAAATTTTCTCCCATTCCGTAGGTTGTCTTTTTGTTTTACTTGTGGTTTCCTTTGCTGTGCAGAAGCTTATAAGTTTAATAGGTCCCATTTGTTTATTCTTGCTTTTATTTCTATTGCTTGGGTTGACTGCCCTAGGAGAACATTTTTGAGATGTATGTCAGATAATGTTTTGCTTATATTTTCTTCTAGGAGGTTTATTGTATCTTGTCTTATGCTTAAGTCTTTGATCCATTTTGAGTTTATTTTTGTATATGGTGTAAGGGAGTCTTCTAGCTTCATTGATTTACATGCTACTGTTCAGTCTTCCCAGAACCATTTTCTGAAGAGACTGTCTTTATTCCATTGTATATTCTTGCCTCCTTTGTCGAAGATTAGTTGACCAAAAGTTTGTGGGTTCATTTCTGGGCTCTCTATTCTGTTCCATTGGTCCATATGTCTGTTTTTG